CTTAAATGCTGCTGTAGTTTTTGCAGGGGTTTTTTGTTACTGTTGGGGTTTTTTTTTCAGCCTCAGTTTATTAAGATAACAAACTGTTTAGGGAAATGTTATCCCTGAATAACTTGGAGTTTTGCCTTGTAAAGTGTTCCATAAATTTGCAGTCAGAAATTAAAACAACTGTTAATTTTCCTTGCATGTTCTTTGGTTATGTATTATAGAAGCTCCAAATTTAGCTTCATTTAAAAATACAATCCATTGATCCATGGGCTCATTTGAAAACTCTTGCTAATTAGACCTGTAAAACACCTCTTACTCAATGTCATCTCAAGTATAAACATACTAATGGGAGAGATCCATTAAATTCAGTGTTGATGTGGATTCTTTGTGACCCTGGGACCTCCCAAATCTTTGCCATGGTTGTGATAAGAGGGTTAACTCTGAACTTGGGCAACATTTACACAGTCAGCACTTATTCTTAAAAGTCTTGTGTAAACTGAGCATATCTTACGTGAACCCGAAGTTTTGAATCTCTTTCCAGACACTGTTAGTAAGGTCATGGCTCCAGTGGCTCTTACACACCTGGGCAGTAATTATGTTGCAGCTTGAGGAGTGGTGGCCCTGTTTTTGAAGACTTACTCAAATCCCAAAGGTTGAGAGGCTTTTATGTTGTCTACTAGTGCTGAGTCAGACTCAGTAAATGCTGCTTGTGCCATCTTGACTGTTAGGCACATGGAGCGCCTTGGGTTGCACTGGCAGCCCTGTGGTCAAGCAGCTGACAGAGCTCTACGTATTTGCCAACAGCTCGAGTGGCTGTCTTGGAGGATCAGGGTGCATCAGAAAGATTTTGCAAGTCATAACCAAATGTCAAACATCCACTGGTCCTAGCTACTGCCTTGCCTGTTCTTCTGCTTCTTCCACGATGGTGGTAAACAGGGCAGATGTTTCAGACAAAAATGAGGATGGATGTAAGTGTGCTACGTCAACTCATGGAAGGTGTACAAATCTCTTAATGTATGGACACTCCCTGGTAAGCAGACTTATTTTTGTGAGAAATCTGTGGAATTGAGGATATGTAAGAAGTTGCTAGTAGAATGTGACTTTATTTCCATGGAATCAATTGAGGGAAGAATTAACTTAAACAACTGTTGCATCACACTGAGTGCCAGAATATGTCTGTTGTCATGCTTATTCAAAATTAAGTGTGTAAATTTAAGCTTTAGTACTGATCACTGTTCCATGCAGTGTTTCCTACATGTTCTTTCTTTGGTGTTTTTTCCATGAAGGAATACCTATATTGAGGTAACTTGATGTCTCAGTACACGTGTTTTATATTTATTGGCTGTTGGCTAACAAGGGGCCAACATCTAAAACAAATTGAAATCGAGAGCCTTTAGGCTAGCTACACTGGGATTTTTATTAGTGCTTGTCAGTAGCCCAGACATACTCTTAACATTCCATCTAGGAGGGTATATTTTGTGGTTTTTTTCTACTTCATTCTAAACAAGTCACAAAATTGGTTAATTGAATCATCACCTGTTGTTTTAGGTGCCTTTTTTCCTGTATAGCTTCTATGTAGTGTGCATGTGCCCTGTTCTGTGGCATTTGGATCTCTTCAGCTGCAGCATTTTGTGTCTGCCTGGATCCTGCTTGGCCTTACCAGTGGGCTCGAGGTCCTCAGGTGAAGACCAGCTCTGCTTACTCTGCCTTGTAACATCTTTTATCACAGCAATCTCTTCCCTTGCAAGTTGACTGCTATCAAGAATTTACTGATACAGCAGAAACGTGTTTATTCTTTTATCAATCTTCCAGTCTTTTGACTAATGCTTGCCCTGTTAGGAAGACTGAGCTTTCTGTCTTCAAATCAAGCTCATTTGTGTGTTGAAGTTGGTGTGGCAGGATTGCTGGATGCGCTCATGGGTCTGAAGTTGTGGAAAGCTATATGCAGGGCTTTTGTTGAAGACTGAAGCCTTTGCCAGGTGTTTTAGCAGACTAGACTTTTAGAACCCAAGTCTTCAAAGTAGTTTGCTCTGTATCGCAGTCCTGGGGCCACCTCTATCCTACGAGTTGTCTTTGCTGTTTCTAGAAGTGTCTCTAACTGCTTGTTCGATGTGATAGCATTGTTGCCTTGAAACCAGCATGTGTTAGAGGGGAAAGTGTGTAATCAGTCTTATCAGAAGCCTGTGTTGCAAGAGACTCCTCCCGGCATATAAGCACTGTAGGTGTTGGCACTCCCTGTGCTTTGCCTTTTCAGTGCTCAGATATTCAGCCCAGAAACAGCTGCTTTGGCCCTGGCAGGAAAGAAACGTAATATCTTACCTGTGAGCTGCTGATACACTATCCCTTCTAGAAAGGATCCAAGTTCTCCACTTTTCAGTGTCCACAAGTTACTTGTTCTCAGCTCTTGCTCTTTTCCCTCATTGGAGGATTTCCTAAGCAGAACAACTATTACAATCCCAAGATATCTGTTGGTGCATTAATCCACCCTCTGAACCAATGTTTGCAAATAATTTTCATGAGGGATTTGAGGCTGGCAAGGGCTACTGGATCTGCAATGTCCTTATTGAGGATGGGAGGGACCTGTGGATGTGTAGATCCAAGACTAGATTGTAAAGCATTAGTGTTATTCAGGTGAATTCTTAGGCTGATACTTATCAAATGGGTTTTGTGGTTTTCTTACTCCTACTTTCAGACAAGCTGCCTCTTTTGCTGCCTTGCTTATAGCTGCAGTAAGTTGTGTTTGGAGGGCAGCAGTAAATGGCTGTTTATGGAGCTAAGACAAGCAGGCTATAGGAGCTGTGTCATGAGGGACAAAGGCTTGGTCTGGTATTGGCTGTCCCATCCTGGCTAACAGGGCCATAACCCACTAGGATGGTCAGCTGGGCTCCTCCAACTATACTTGTCTTCATCTGTGGGGCTCTTACAGTTGAGGGAGAGCTACGATGTTTGAAAAGTGGCCCTAGAGCTCAATGTCACAAGTAATAATGTGATATACTAAATTTCAGTGTGATGGCTCATCAACAGTTCTCCCTTGCACTGAGAAGCTAGGACCCCTCTGCAGCAGAGGAACTCTGTCAGAGAGTGGGAGCAGTCTGTCCTGAATATGCTGACTGCGGCATGGGCAAGAGCAGCAGGGCATCCTCCACAGCCAGTTTGCCAGGCTGAGTATTTTACCACCTGCCTCTCATGTTTGCCTCCAAACTAATGTTTTGGTTCACAGCAAGCGATGACTGGATTACAGTATCTGAGAACTCATTTTAGAGTCACAGCTATTGGACCTAACAGACTTTAAAGAGACTTGGAGCAAGATATGTATTCATCTTATCAGTGTATGAAACTTCAGGGTAATAAGGAAAAGCCATCTTAAAAGCAAAGGAAGATGAGAGATACCAGTGCTTGGTAGTTAAAACTGAAACTACAAAGCTTAGAGCAGCTAGATGATTCAATAACAAATGTGTGGCAGCATCAGCCCAAAATGTGGGCAAGTAGTGTAATTTCTTGTGTCCTCAATAAGTGCATGTGTGATCATTTCTGTGGGGTATTTGGGGTTTTTTTTGTTTGGGCTTTTTTTTTTTTGGATGGGGGGAAGAGCTTTTGAGGTCCAGCCTTCAATGTACTTGTAAAGTCCAGATTCTTGCTTTATTATAGTGCCTTTTATTTGAGTTGCCTGTATCAGCCACCAGAAGATGTTTACCTACTACATGAGGCAGCTGCATTGGGTGAATGTTGAAAACTTGCTCAATCTGTGTGACGAAAAAGCAACTCACAGTGCATTTGAGGAGAAGAGGGGCCTGTGGTTTTTTACTGAGGATGTATCTTGATGTTCTCAGCTAACCGACTCATGGGTTGCTGCAGAAAGTGGCTGGCCCAGCCCTGTGTTTCCATCCCCACCCTTGTGCCTGTGTCAGTGTGCCCGCAGGTGTGCAGTGGCTCAGATCAGGGACCTGACCTTCTTAGAAGAGGGTCTATTTGTAACTGTTGCTCTTTGGTGAGGGCTGCCCCTTATTCTGGTTCAGTAATGCAGCCACAGGATTGTCACCTCAGACACAAGAGGTGATGCGAGTACATGGCTGAGAAAATATGGGGGAGGGTCAGGCCAGCTCTTTTGGCAGCTGCTAGCATAAATAGGGTGTCATTTTGGTAACTGGTTTATGCTGAAAACTATTTCCAAAAACCTCACATGCAGTGCTTGAAACTCAGCCAGAAGTCAGCACTACTGTATGTTCCTTCAGATTCATAGCTAGAAACATTTGGAAGAGTTGAAGATTTGTTAACATGTGCCCTCTGTGCCCTAGAAAGAAAAAAGGACTAGTCCCAGAGTAGTAGTTATTAATAATCAAGTTTGTTTGCAGCTGGAGATGTGCTCAGAGTCATCCTTAACAGGTTGGGAAAGTGCTTTTGTGGGAGGTGTTATGGCTGCAGTAAGTAGGGGTGTGAATACCACAGCTTATTCATTTGATAACAGGCCTCATCCCCATCAGTGGGAAGCAGCTCAGTCTGTTGCAGTCTGACAGGTTGCTGAAGCTGCTGCTGATTCCCAGGTTGTCCTTGAGGTGTTTACAGTGTGTTGCTGTCCTCATCTCTTCTGCTGGGGCTCTGCTTAGCACAGGGCTGCTTCATCTGCTGCTTGCTTTGAGCTTCCACAGAGGAGTCCTTGGGCTCCTCTGAGGAGTAGACTGAAACTCTGCTGGCTCTCAGCCACAGCACCATGTGTCTGAGTACACCATCCTGCCCTCAAATCAGGCGAAGGAAGAAGAGCAATAAATGCTTGGTTTTGAACAAGTGAAACTCGAGGAATTCACTGTACAGAGAACAGCATATTCCTGGTGATCTAAACATCTTTCTGCACTATGCTATAAAAGGCCCCTTTTATAAGGAAAAATTACTAATTTAACTCTTTTCTGTTGTAATTTTAGTAAAAACTGCCTAATTCTGCAGTTATTTACTCAGTAAAATTGCTCTAAGAATCACCCCTGACCTGCGTGTAACTTTATATGGGTTTCTGTTTGCAGCTATTGTGGATGATGAAAGGCTTTCAGCAGAAGAAATGGATGAAAGGAGGCGTCAGAACATTGCTTATGAGTATCTGTGCCACTTAGAAGAAGCAAAAAGGTAAGTAAATGAAATCATACTCGTATCTGGCTCTTAAATACCTCTTCAAAGGTATTTAACAAGCCTGTTGTGTTCTTGAGCATTGCAACTTTCAATTCAACTTCTTGAATTACTTGGATTAACTTAATATTGGACTCTTATAGCATCCAGTACAAGAAACTAATGCGCAATGTAAAAAGTTTAATTCAAATAAGGGTTTAGAAACAATCAAGACAGTCTCCTCAGAGTTACTGCAGTGACCATCTTCAATGAAAGTAGAGGTTGGGTTCTAAAACCTAAGGCTGTCATTTGGTGAGAAGTTGAGTCAGGCTTATATGACTAACTGGGGAGAAAGTATTTTGTTCCTGGCTGCATGGTCATGTTCCTTTCTTAGCATTAGTGCATGTGAAGTGACTCAAGTTGCTAAGATGGCAGAAATTCAGCTAGACTCTTACTGAGTTAATGATGCATATCATCTTGATGTTTCAATAGTAACTGTAGACAGGGCAATAAGATAACCTGGACTCTGATCTGTCTTTAGTTCCTGTAACCTATAGATCAAGAGTACTCATCTCTTGAAGCAACAGCCTGTGATGAAGCACTGATCTGCAAGGGGATTTTATCAGCTCTGTGCAAATGTACTCTGCTATGTACACTTCATTCTCAAAACAAATATTCAACAGTATTTTCATAATTACTGAGTAAGAAAAAAGGTGCAATATCCTTGTGCTTTTGCAGAAGCTTGAAGTGCTGCTATTATCGAATGTAAAAACTTATTTTACACTCTGGTCAGAATTTTCAAATATGCCTGTTGTACTCAATTTATTGCCCTGAGCACCACTGGTAAGTGTCTTGCTTCTGCTCTGCTTTTGTTGTTGATGGTGGTTTTATTCCTAAATTTTAGTTGGATGACTTTCCTAAGAATTTCTGTAGAGAAAAGGAAACTTGAACTCTGATTAGTAGCGTAAGCTGGGAAACCTCAGTGTGATGACAAACCATAGGATCTTTAGGATAGAGTAACTCAGTATATGGTCAGGAATCAAGCATAAAACACTTCCCTGGGCTTTGTTGCTGCACTGTCCCCTCACTATCACAGCATGGCCCTGATGGTTACCTATTTGGTGATGGTTACGTATTTGGCAGTCATAGGACAGCTAGCTGCCAATCATCTTGTCCTAGGGAAGCTGTTATAAAAATAAACCATTTTTACTTCCTATATGCTATGTTGTCCCATTTGCTGCAGCAAATGTTCTCTCCTTTGCTCTTTCTTCCTCTTTCCACTGGTAAAAATGGTTCCCCCCTCACATATTTAAGATGGCAAGTGTCTTGCTGCTGCCAGAGAGGACTGTTCTGCTCTGCAGACTCTTGTTGCCTCCAACATGTAGTTGTAAGAGATTGCCTTTGGGCAGCTGAGTCAGCTTGCTATGCTGGCAGGAAACTCATAGTGCTTTTGCTGAGTTAGTTTTCTAGTGGTTTAGTGAGCTGACTAGTCTGATCAAGGGGTCAGAGGAGAATCACTGGCAAGAGGAAGGGTATGGGGTACAGCCTTACATTTGAGAGAGCAGGTCTTCACTTTCATTGCTGGAAGGCTAGATCTCCATCTCAGGAAACATCTGAGTGTCAAACTTTTACTTTAGTCAAGGTTTCTCCTTGGTCTGTTACAACTTGTCTACCTGCTGGCTTCTAGCACAATAGGAATAACAACTAGCCTACAAATCCAGCCTTTTCTATTACTATTATCACTTAATTTTCTTTCAGATTTTTTTTTTTCTTTTCACTCTCCTTCCTTCCCAGGTCTACTTGTCACTTTGAACTCAAGTTCCCTAGTTTCTTTGCAGCATCTGTCTTGATATTTCACAAGGAAATGTGAAGTTATTTTTACAGCTAATGACTTAAATTTGTATCTGCTACGAGTAACCCTCTCCTCTTCCTTGTATCTATTTTCATATGGGTTCATGTCATTAGTGGTTTTCTTATAAGAAACACTCCTTTAGCACTGCCAGCTGTTGATGGGACTTTGCATCCAGAACAGTCACTCTCAGGGCTTAGGTAGCTGGAAGCATTTTTGGATCTCAATTTGAAATTTACTGTTAATATTCATGGCCAGTGTTTGCTACTGCATGTGGTAGGGATGAGTTCTGCAGTGTAAGGAGCCTTGTGCTTTCCTCACTGAGGGTTTAGATTGTCATGGGTGAAGCTGATGTGGCAGCCCAATGCTGCTGTATGTCGTTCTCCCATGTCTCAGCACACAGGCGTCAGCGTTCATTAGAGAAGAGAGGGTGGTGATGGTGGGGTGGTGATGGCTCTGGGGTGCTCTCAGGTGGACAGAGCTGCTGTGGGGGAAAAAGGAGGGCAAGGGAAACTTCTCCCTTCACAGTGAACTGTTGGGATAATTCAGCTGTATGATGAGATTTTGTCCCAAGATGGACTCTTACTAATGTGAAAAACACTTGGCAATGAACACATACAAAAACTTGCAGAAACAAACAGAAATGCCTGTGCTTCGTAGCTGTGTAGCCTCTGGCTCTGTTTCCTCAGGAGGAAAGTAATGCCTTGTGGGGATGACAGGCTGAAGTGGTGAGTGTGCACAGCTGACCAGGCCTGACCTAGTGAAATAGCAGAATGAGAAAATGCCATATCTTTTTTCACTGCACAGTTATCACCCTCTCCACCCTGATTGGGTTGAAACATAGTGGTGTGCAGTCTCTACTCTGTACTTAAAAGGTTATAGCATTTTCTTTGTCACAACAGAGCCTAAACAAAATTAGAGACTCTGGAAAGAGATATAGCAGCCTTGGAGAGACCTATGGGGTTGTAAGTCAAACTATGGCAATACTAGACCGGTGCAAGCTATGGATAGCTTGAGTGTAGGGCGCAGACTGCCTCAACAGCTCATGGTGGTTCTTGTGCTTCAGCTGTGCAGTTTCACCTGTGGTGTCTGCTGAGGGATCAGCTCTTGCTGCTTGCTCCCAGCAGTGCCCTACTGGGTGAAACCTAGGAGAGGGATCTGCCTCTGACATATTTATGTATACTGTTGCAAGCTTTTATTTTTTTTCTTCTATAAAACCTGAATGCATGGAGAGAATTTTTTTAGTATTCAGGACACTATAGATATTGCTGGCAATAAACAGATCTAAATGGGTAAAGCAATGTTAGTTTTTTTCCATCCATTTGGCACTTGCTGAAATGACAGCTAATACTGTTTCAGCTGATCAGCAGTGTGCAAACAAAATGTGTTTTGGCCCATATTGAAGAGTAAGAAATACTGAAATAAGTAATAAATAGCAAAAGAATGGGGCAGAGCATGGCTTTATATATAGTACTATGGCAGGAGTTAAATTTTTTTCTCACTATATTTGTAATCAAAATATTATTTTTTTAGCAGCTTTACATTTTGAAATGCCAGAGTTAATTAAAAGAGTGAAGAATGTGTACTTTCAGCTGCTTTTCAGACCACTGTTTGCACACTTACTTCCTGTAGCCCAGCTTTAATAAAAACTTTCCAAGCTGAACATGAAAGAAGAATCCTGCTGCTGGTAGCTGATGCTTCTGCAAATAACTTCTATACTAGGCACAATATCTCTTATATGTATACAGCAGAGGAAATTGGTTTTTTTAAACACAATGAACAGGCTTGTAATATCTGCAGAGGTCAGTAATGTTTGAATAGGGGGCTATATTTGATAATGGAGAAAAAAACATCTAAAATGCTAGTCTCTTTCTCCCCAGAATCATACACCTGGTAACTCAAGTTTTTGGTTGCTCATGTCTGTCATTTGGTTTATTACTTTAGTCTTTAGGAAAGGAAAGGAAATTTCATTGCATACTAAACAAAGTAGAGAAAAATAAGACAGTTTCTAGTACCCTTGAACTCCTGAGAAGTGTAAAATCAAGAATAAACAATTAGGAGTAGGAATTTAGTCACTTCAAGCAATGCAATCATGAGTGCCTCAAAGAGAAGCTCTCCAGACATTACACAAATACATTTCCAGTATCACTTGGGAAATTCTTCTGTTAAATAACTAAGGCCTGAGGTGGGCATGAACAGCTGTATCACAAGCCTTAATGTCTTACAGGATTATGTTGATTTCAATAGTTAAATTTTACCACAAAATCCTCCTTTCCAAAGTTTCTTTGTAATATCCAGAACATCAGCTTCTGCCTTCAGTTTGGCTTTTGCTGTTGCTCATCCCTTTGCAGATGAGCAATTACCTTTCTGTAAATGCTAATATCTATTTGAAGGGTTTTAAACCATGATTGAAGATTTTGCATGTAATGCAAATCAAGTTTACAGTAAATCTGTTGTGGTTGGCTAGGGTTATAATTATCCATAATTAAGCAGGCACTATTTCTCTTTGCTTCTTGGAAATTTTACGTTCTTATGCTAAGCTTAAATTTGAACCATGGGAGGCCTCACTTTACTAAGCTTGCCTCTCTCTCCATGAAATAGAATGCACTATGTTTCACAACGCATATGCAGTGATTTCATAATCAGAACTGCCAGTATTTATCTAATTTCTTTTTACTTTTCATACTTAGTCATTCAATAGGACAAGAACTTGTGTGAAACAAGAAGCAGGCGGATATGGCACTCCAGAGCATGATTTAGTGGGCATGGTGGTGTTGATGGTTGGACTCGATCTTAAAGGTCTCTTCCAACCTTAATGATTCTATGAAACACTGCAGCTTTAGCTTCAATGTTTGGACAATGGAGACACAGTGAAGGAAAATCACCCAGGAAATTTCTTTTGAGAAGCCATTTTTTTTTCCAATTTCTTTACAACAGAAAATCAAATAAGCTATTTTAGGTTCCAGAGCCAGTCTCCTTCATTGTATTGGATTTTATTAAATTGGTTTGCAATAGCTATTTGTGGTATTGGTCACTGATGAGATCACAGTTGGAAGCTGCTGTGTAAAAATGTGCGTGCAGTTTAATATACTTAAAGGGTCAAGACCTGAAGTGCTTAATTGGCTTCAGTTAAAGCTAATTCTTTTGCAATACCATAGCACCATAGAAAACT